ATGGATGGATGGATGGATGATAGATAGATAGATAGATAGATAGATAGATAGATAGATAGATAGATAGATAGATAGATAGATAGATAGATAGATAGATAGATAGATAGATAGATAGATTTGGATTGGATTTTGACATGGCAACCCAATTTTTGAAAGGAGCTGTTCTTATGCCTAGATGCCGCCACATACCAGAAGTCTTCAAGTTCCTGTTTTTTTTTTTTACAAGACATTCTTGCTTTACTTTGGTATGGTGTGCTGTATAATTTTCTTTTCTTTTGTGTTAAGAAGCTAAAGCAAAAAAAAAAATGTACGTTTTCATTTATTCAATAGTAATTGTTACCTGTGACATATGTATTATTTTTCTGGTTCTATGTAACTTTGATATTTGTACCTTAGTGGTTCAGTATTGGGACATGTATCATTACGCCTAATATCCACAGATAAAGAAAAAAGCAAAAGGGACTCTGTATACAAGTGTACACTGGAACATTCCCTTGAACCACTGTCAACTTTTTGTGGTTCGAATTGTTGAAATAAGTGAAATCTATTCTAAAGTAGTCCCACTAGCCATTAGCATGACTTGTCTTCAAGAGTTCTCCTATTCTCTAAACCAGGTGCGGGCAACATTGCTGTTCCAGAGGTCCAAATCAAACTATTTAAAGTAATCAAAGGGATACATAGAGAAATGGAAAATAAATTTTCTTTAAGACCAATAATCTGGAGGACTTTTTTCAGGCTTTTTTCTTGTTGTAGCATAGTTAGCATGCTTGATAAAAAAAAATATGTCTCCCCAATAATCTTCAAAAATATAAGACACACTTTCTGTAAACTGGCTGGTGACAATATATTTGTTAGCATAACTATGAGAAAAACAAAAACATATGTTTGATTTTTGGAGACTAGTTCTGGAAACCCTAAAAAATAAGTTCTAGCCTATCTTAGTCCAAAGGTTTTTAATGTCACAATGACAAAATGCAGGTTTTCATCAACTTATTCAAAAGTTTTCTGTTCATTTTAGGAAATTGGGGTCAGATAAAGATTTGCCAAGGGCCACTTTTGACCCTTGGACCATATATTGTCCTACTTCTGCTCTAAACTGAGATCATTCTCGAGTTTTCTACTGCAGGAACGTGATTTTAAAAATCTGAACTAGTCTTTACATTAGATTTTAAGTAAAAGAAAAACAAGATAACTTTGTTATGGTTATTAATTACCATCAACATAATTTTCATTAACATCAGAATCATGTTAGCATCACCATACGCAGCGTTGCTGTTATGACTTGCATCATCATGCATGCATGAGCATTCCAAGGGTCATGCTCGCCAGTCATTCCATGTTATTGGCACAAAGTTGTTCAAAGATGGTAGTGGGGGGAGGAGGGGGTGTTCAAGAGGAACAAAAAGAAGGTCTTGTTGCCTGAAAAAAAGGTGAGGATCTACTGGATGTTAAGAGCGGTGGTGTGGTGGTAGAGATCATGCAGATGAGGAGAAGTGTCAAATAGTCCTGGACCAGACTGCCCAAAGACATTTTGGAACTAAGATAGTGAAAGTTTCCATCTCAGACTGAGACATGGAAAAGATCTGAGTGCCAAGATGCTTTGGAAGCCTCAGCCCTGCTCGTTTTGGGTTCAATTTAAGTGTTTCTGAGTTGGAAGGAACCAACGGTAGCAGTGGCATCATTGTAGAAGCTCCTCCTTCCCATCAAATGTGTCATACAGGAACAACATGATCCTTAGCTTCAAGTGGGACAACCATAAACACATCTGCACGGAGAAGACTCCAGTTAGCTGCTAAGAGTTGTTAAGCTAGTGAACAGGACACTTGGAGAAGAGCACTTAGTAAAGGGTGTTAATAGAGGCACTCATTGGTGAAGAAAGGCCTTGGTTGAGTGGATGAGAGCTTAGAAACAGCATGTGAAGGACTTAGTTAGTAGTTTATGGGATTTTAATCACCAGCATTTTTCTGCACATTTCATTTTTGGTGGGCAACCCAAGTCGCACTCTGGATTATCTGTAGAATATCTCAAGGCCAATCTTAACCGAACAGCTAACACTAATGGACATCTGGATGTTTACCAGTTTTAAAGCCTTTTATTCTCGAAAGCTGTTTGTCTGGAGGCCAGTGCAAGCTACAGGAAGAATCCAAGGCTGCTGCATGTGCCCGTAGTTTGCATCAAGGTCCTCCATAATCTGCATTAAAGTCAAACTGAAAATCTTCCTTTACAGAATATTAAAAAAAAAACACATTCACCAAACTCGCTAAAATTAAAACGAGGAGAAATTACTGCAACGGAGCAACAGCTGAGTGAAAAGAAAACTTTAGAAATCAGCTGACCAAAACTTTGATTTGAAATTACCTTTCATATGATGTCACTTTCAGTGACAGAAAAAGGCACAACGTGAAATGTGAACCTTTGATGCCATTTTTACTTAAACGGTGTGATTTATGGCCTTTATAGACTAAACCATGAAAGAATTGTAAGTAAATCCTAGGTCATGAGCAGGGATGTCCCAGGTTGATCACAGTATTGGACTGGACTGATCAAAGCATATTTTGTTGATCGGTATCAGAGTAGCTGCTACACTCTGCTCACAATCTCTGTTGATGACCTACTGCCAATAGTTTTATATCACCCGTGGAGCTGCCAATACAGGGCTGAAGTTTATCATTTCAACGTCTGCAGTACAGAAGTTTTCAAATACAAAACAAGAGCAGGTCAATAGCTACTTACAATTATAATATAATAAAGGGGTATTTCTGGTGGCAGTAGAAGTAGAACTATATACTGTATGATGCTATCAATTTAGCCAGACATCAAACACTTGGCAGAGTTCACCCAGCTTGCCCTTAAAGCTAACATGGCTAAGCCACACACTTTAGAGGAACTAGAGAGGAAATAAGTTTCCATGGGACAGTGATGAGGCTAGAAGGTTCCCAGAACTAGTGTCTGACTTTATCGCTAGGTGACCAACCATCATTGTGGTGGAGGATTGTCTTTTGGGCTGTTGACCCCAGGTACATCCATCCCTCCCAACACTACAGAACCTGAACTGCCTGAGTTGTATACAGTTTACCATCACCTGACACACTGATGTCCTACAACAACCTGAGGAACAACACGGACATAGGTTTTCTTTAATGGCATGCTGGCTTTGATTTTAATACCCTTAGCATACTGATGGTATGTATTCTGTAAAACTGTGCTGTAATAAAATACACACTAACGCAGATACTGGACTGACACTCAGTATTGGACAATCCTTACGTTTAACCCTCCTGCTACCCTTAGGTCAAAGCCTCAGTTTTAAAACTAAGACCATATGGGTCATTTTGAGCCAAGGACAACAGTGGGGTTACATGATTTTGTTTTGGTCCCTAACTTTTTATAGTCCGGTTCTAATAATATCAGCGTTGGTTTTCCACTCATGGCTGTTCTGATCTCTCTGCTCAATGTTTTGTGATGTACACAATTCTGCTGTGACCAGAAACTCTACAGTCCAACATGTCTTAAGTCTTACATTGTGAAATGCATTACACATGTTGTCAACCGGGCAGCTGTGGCTGAGTGGTTAGAGCAGTCGTCCTCCATGGGAGAGTTGGGGGTTTGATTCCACCAGCAGTCACATGCTGAAGTGTCCCTGGGCAAGACACTGTACCCCTCATTGCCTCCGATGTGTGTCCCATCGGTGTATGAATGTGATCTAAAGCTCTGATTAATCTTTGTATAGATCTAGTAGAGTGCTGTATGAATAGGTAAATGAAGACACAAATTGTAGTGTAAAGTGCTTTGAGTATCTTGATAAGATAGAAAGTTGGACAGTACAGTCCAGTTACTATTTATGTTTGGAAAATTTTTACATTTTGAGCTGTGCAGTGTGAAAAAAACAGATTACGAGACAGCGGCACTAATCATCAAGCTACCATAGCCCCTTTCGAGCTACTGAATAAAGAATGTAGTTTCAGTTTGACTTTAAGTGGATGACTTTGTAACATGAGGGGGAGATTTGTGGAAAAACAGAGGCACTGTTTAGTTACAGCTGGAGCAGAGCAGACTATCAGCTAATGATGTCACTTCTTCCTCTGTTGGTTTGATTTCTTAGATATTTAGTCGCAGGTTTGAATGGCAGGCAGGCAGGCAGGCAAGCAGCACCTACTTGTTACATGGACAGGAGCAAAGACCACAGAATTTCCCTAGATCGTTCAAATTCTTTTCTGCATCCTTCATGTCCTTATTGATTTGGTCCATTCCCTCCTCGATGCGCTCCAGTTGCTCTGATTAAAACACAAGTCATATATCCCCCACAGAACGAAGCACGGAAAGAGAGAGGAAGAAGAGAAGAGAGAGAGAAGACAAAGGAGAGAAGACAACAACTTCAGACACTCACTGTGACGAAAGAAAGTCAAACAAAACGAAGAAGGAGAAACTGGACGCCACCACATATGTAAAGAACCTTCGGGGCACATCGTCAGTACCTACTTGTTACATGGACATATGAAAAGCCCACAGCATTTCCCTAAATCTTTTAAATTTTTCTCGGCTTCCTTCATGTCTTGGTTGATATGGTTCATGCCTTCTTCAACACGATCGAGTTGCTCTGGTCAGGACAAAGATGACAGTAGTGGAATGAATTTCATTGACAAAAATATGAGAAATGATGAGCAGCAACTGAGGGCTGTATCTGTGTGTACTCTGGTGTGTAGCTAAATGTTTGTGGATTGCACCAACACTGAGTAAGCTAAGACGCTACTCACTGTTAGCGTGTTAGCCTAGCTCATAGAACGGTAACAGGAAATGCTCACAGCTATCTACTGCCTCTGTCCAAAGAAAACTACTTTTATCTTTTAGTCCAAGTGACATTTATCAAGTTTTAAAAATGTTTTTCTCATCTTGAGTAGAGCTGGCTTCTTGGATCTGGTCAGAGTGAGCCTGTGTTAGCTACGCTAAGATAACCTCTTGCCCATCGATCCATTTTACCTCAGAGATCAGAGAACGACGTCACACCAAACATTTCATCCAACTGTTGTCAGAAAGTCAGTGGGACTGAAAATTGTGCTCAGTAACAAATATTAGCGAAGCAGTTAAAATCAATCGGTTTCTGTTTTGATGCATTGAAACAACGTACAACGGGTTTTTTAAAGAAGCGGTTGAAGCATTCTGTTTTAGAAGTTGATTTAATAAGTAACAAGTTGTATGCTGATGTCCCCATCGCTGAGGTACTTCAATTGTGAATGTTTGTCGTTTTTGAGATTAGTGTTTTTCTGGACTGGAACACAGAATGAAAGTTAACCTTAATGTTTTTGCTGCAAGATATTCAAGTGTGTAGGAGTTACATTGTGTAGAACAGAAGGAGATTTATTTTTGCTAGTCCGAGGCAGCGCAGATCAAGATGAGTGGAGGGAGCCATTTTAAACACCACCAGGCACAATGGCAGATCCAGGGGCAGGCCAGTGGTGGCCTGGACCACAAATGATTGGGGTGGCCAGTTTACATATATAGATAAGGTGATGGTGGCCATCTTGGATTTTGATGTGGCAACCCGATTTTCGATAGTGTCCTTTCCTACATCTAGATGCAGCCACACACCAAAACAAGTCGGCAGAAGTTGCTTATTGTTCATGTTATAGAGTTTACAAGACAGACGGAAGGTATTTCCTGTTCCCCTCTTCGCTCCGAGATGGTGGGCAACAAACCAACAGAAATGATTACAGCAGAGATTTTATCATACTGAATGTTTTAGGTCAGGACCGAGAGAAGCTTCTGACTTCTCTAGTTGCAACTTCACGGGTCATTTTGTTCCAACTTTTGAATACAAATGGAAGAACACAGCATCAAGCTAATAAACTGAAATGGACATTCAAACTCACTTTTGAATTAAATATCACTGACTGAAGCTCAGATCTGATTTTAAAAACATTTAATTCATATCCTTCATTAAGACTTTTTTATTTTTGTTTCAATGCCAAGAATCAAAGTAGATTCCTTTACCGTCACTCCTTGATTTAATTAGATTTACTGTCCAGGATGACTTAATTTAGAATTTTAAAATGTTTTTGAATAGTTTCTTTAGATGGTGGACATTTGGTCATGAATAGCAGTATTCTGAGCTTTTCTCCTTGATTCTCTGAACTCGGGTCACTCTGACGTCAGTCTACACAGCTCTACAATAAAACAATCAACTAATTTAAAACTCCCATCAGGAGTGTGGATTAAAACTCCATTTTTTATTTTATTTTAATTTCATTGTATTTACTGCCAACACAAAATGAGTAAAGTTCATCACTTTTCCAAAAGTCTGTTTGTTAATTAGTTTTTTAAATATTTTTAAATATGGTTTCTTGTTAATGAGTGTGGGGTTATTTTTCATGCCTTGATGGTGTGTTAATGAGCAAAGTCATCCTAAATGTGACTGAAGTCAATAAAGTGCAAGCAGAGTGTGAAAGCATGTAGCACGATTAAATATGGAGTGGATTCAGAAACTACTTTCACTGACTTTTTAGGATCTGTTCAGTCCCTGGTTGGCATGCATTTGTGTTAATATATAAAAACTATAAAACATACTGTATTTCATGTTAGTGGAGAGTTATAATAATAAAGAGCAATCATTAGGAGGAAATGTTCAGACAGTAAAATTCAACATTGAATCTCATCATCCACGGTGGAATAAAGGTTTTCTGTCAACATGAACGAATTGAGCTTGGCTCAGGCTAGTTGCTGGAACCACATCTTGAATGGAGGACAGTTGACACAGATAATGTTTGAATGGTTGCTGGACGAATAGAGCTTTAAATTCAAATGAACGTTTTTGACCCCATTTTCCCTGAGAAATGTGGTCAGACAGAAAATCTTTGCATTTTTTTTAACTGTTTGATTGTTTGCACAAACATTAATGTTATTAGGTTTTTGGGTGCAGCCAGGGATTGTACAGATCCATAAATGGGTTGAAAGACAAGTGGTAGAATATTTTGTCATTACCAGTTAAATCGATCGTTTCTGTTACCCACGGTTTGTCTACACTCTGATCGGGTTGAGAAGAGACTGTTGAGCTGTTCTCAGGTCTGTTTGAACCTTCAGCCATCTGTTCGTTTTACACCCACAGGCTGAGCACAGTCACACTCCAAATTATCAAGAAGTTTAGTTTTGTAGTAAATGTGTCAAAAGCTACAAACAGTTCAGAGAGCAGGCCTGAAGTTAAAGGGTATTTCAGCCATTCTGAGGTGGGGCTCTGTGGGAAGGTTCTGAGCGTCCCTCTGACTGTAGGAAGAGTTTAAACCTGAGAAGACTCACGAGCTAACAGCTAGTCTGAACACAACCAGGACCAAAGAGAATCGCTGTTGTCGGAAAACAACTTCAGTCTCAAACATTTATAGCAATTTGTGCAAAAACTGTCAGTATGAAATCTATCTCCATATTCAGTTATTTACACAGAACATGAGAACAGTTTTAGCAGAGAAATCATTGTTTCTTCTGTCAGGACTGAGGAATGAGAGCGTGAGAACAGCCTGAAGCTTTAAATGTTACTTTTTGAAAATTACACTCTGAAATGTTGAAAACTGGCTGTTTTAAGACACAAAATTAGCTTTGGAAATGGGTCTGCTCACCATTATTAGCTCGTCAATAAGATTTGAGCAGACCCACTTCCAAACTGGCTGCTCTGGAAGTGTTACAGCCAGTTGCTGCTGCCTTTACTGTACTTATCCCCCCCTCCCAGATCCCTCCTCCCCTCCCCGCCTCATTGGTCCACTGTGACCTGTTCGTAATTTCATTGGTCACATTTTTTTAGCCTTTATTTAAACAGGTAATCTCATCAATACACGTCTCTCTTGGGGGGTGGGCCCTCGTGACTCAATGAGACTACCTCATTGGTTCACTGTAGTTGACTGTCGATCAAATGGCCTCAGGGAGGAATTATGGGTAAAATTATGTTCATTGTTAATCGTTTCAGTTAGCTGTTTAGCATTGTTCTTTTAGTGATTAGTCTGTTCTTGTTAACCTAGTTTATGTTCACTATGTGTTAGTTTGCATTAGACCATTCAGAAGCGGAACCATGAGTGAGGGAGGTAGTCAGCATGAAGACCTGTGGGGCTCACTCTGTGTTCAACAGTGAAGTGTTTAAAACACCATCTGGTGATTGATTCTTGATCTACAACAAGAACTGCACATCTCTTTCAGTAGCTGGGTGCTGCTATGCTACAGTATTTAATTAAAAGTTAAAGAAGTCTTTCTGTGTAAATATCTCATTACAATGTGAACAACTATGATTAAAATATGTACAAAAATATTTTTTTTAATTAAGTGTGCATGCTTATACTCAGATGCACTCTAGTCAGGAAATTATGGTATTTGTGCCTGCAGAACCTTCATGTAAGCAGTGAAATGTGAGTTAGCAGCAACGTGAAGGTTTTTGAAGTTGTTTTCAGATGACAGAATTCTACTTTGACCTGGATGAATTCTGTCTAGCCTCACTTCAGATTTAAACTTAATTTACTAAAAACTGAGGGTGTTCACACACGTATCTACAGCAGGTAATACATTAATTGTCCAGAAGGTTTGCACTTCAAAGTGTCTGACCTATCCCTTTAAGCTACCAACTGCAGTGTGAACAAACACTTAAGGCTCCAGTATACTGCTGCGTATGTCCGTTCACGCGTACTCGTGTACTGTACGCAGAGGGTTCAGACATGATACTCCAGCGTACACCCTGATCAGCTGCAGAGCAGCTTCACAGACAAGGGGCGTTTCCCTTCGGGACAAATTGAGGTCGCCGATTGGTCATTTGCTGACACGCCTACTGGATTGATTGACAGGTCGGAAAAAAGAAAAAAAGCGAGCGCTGGCAGCCTCCGCCGCAGTGGTGTTCTGTGTTTATATGTTGTTAATAAAAAGATCTAAAAAATAAAAAAAAACAGGGAGCGCTGGCTCTGCAGCCCACACATCAGACCAGCCCAGCAGGAAATCTCCAGACCCTCCCGCAGCCACGCTGGACCTGAGTTTAATTCGCTCGTGACAAATTCCTCCATTTCTCACCATTTCAGTCATGGCATCAACGGAGGAGGAAGAGATCACTGCCTCTTGGCAAAAAAACAAAAGAAAAGGCCAGATCAGGGATGAAGAAGAGGAATTTAATACATTGGTGTCGCATACAAAACAGTCCGTCGCTGGGCAGTTTATTGTGCGACACCGCGTACACATATGCGGTCGTAAAACTTTGCGCTTTGCACGGACATGCCCTGGGGGGTACGCACGTACCTCTGCGTACGTACGTGTGTACCTCTGCGTATAGATGTACGCAGCAGTATACTGGGGGCTTTAGGTTTAGCTGCTGCGTTGAGCTGTGGGTGTATCAGTGGCTGCCTTTAAATTTCATAAGGTCTGTTGGTGTTTTGGCACTTTTGACGTTTCACTTCTTGTCTGCTTTAGATAAACATAAATAAATGAATAAACAAACAAACAGAAGAGGAAAATAAATATAAAAAACTGAAGACAAATTAAAAGCATTAAGCAAACTGAAAAGTAAATGGTTAGCCAAAAAATAAATACATAAATAAAAAGTTAAAGGAAGCAGAAAATCAAATCTTACATCCTTCACCGACTCATGCACTAAATTAAAACAAAACAAAAATCAGAAATTAGAGATTAAATAAATTTTGTAGGGAAATAATTAGTCTGCAAAATGCATTTAAAGCAGAAGAAGCATAAAAAAAACATTTCATTATTCCCAACATTAACAGCCTTGCTGTCTACAAGTGTCATCATTTGTGTTTAATAAATGTGAGCTTCTATTTTTTAAAACAGAACCTGACTGATCTGGAGACATAAATCCACCATGTTCCATGCTGCACACTCACCTCCCTGCTCGTCCAACATGACCAGAGTCCTGATGCCGGCATCTTTGCTCTGAGTCCCACCAACAGGTGGGGGGAGGCGACGAGAAACAGGCGGGGGGAGGCGACGAGATGCGAAACAAAACAGAGTTGTCAGAAACAGGAAATCAAGAGTTCCCCAAACACAAACTTTTAGTTCAAACGTGTTTTTGAGTTCATGTTTGTTGAGATGCCGTGGTGCTCACATAAAGTTTTCAGTTTCATTGCTTTGTTTTACATTCCCTCTGAAACATTCTGACAGGATTTCTCAACAAATGTCTTCATCTTGAACAAAGTTAAAGCAGAGTACCGTACGGCACATTAGACACCTGTCAATAAACTGTTATACAGAAATCTGGAGTGATGGCATGGGGAAGCAAAGACCTTGTTGTAACTTTGACCTTGGTTTGTGACCTTGACCTTGGAGCTGGGGTGATGAAGCATGTGCACAACACTCCGTCTAGTGATGATGCATATTTGTATGAAGTTTGGTTAAATTATCGTGAACGGATCCAAAGTTATGGCCGGGACAATAGAAAGTTTAAAGACAGAGCTTATTCTATAATATGTCCAGCATTCGACGGGTGTATAATAATAGTATTACCGTACCTGCCACCGTACACGTCGCACCGCCGTATAATCGCATCAGTCACATCAATCCAAAAATGTATAATAAAGTGGAAAAAAAACAAATACGTTGATTTGCCGTAAACGTCGCATTTATTATGCGTCACAGCTGACGTGTCATGTTTGCTACGCGTCACTGCTGACAACCCGGAAATGTGGGCCCATGTGCCAAAAATCGATTGGCTGCCAAATGGCGGCCGCTGGAGCATGCATGGTAGAGCTGTCATTTCTAACCCAAAGCCGGAGCCCAGCCCCGCCCGACTAGGCCGATTAGGGCCAGTCCAGGCCATAATAATGTGCTTAATGTGCAGGCCAGGTTGGTGTCGAGCTTTTGATTGCATCAGCGGACGAATGAGGATGATGATCCAATTATATGGCAACATGGATTGCCATACATACACCAGCCGCACGCAGTCATCTGACCGCACGCTGACCAGCCTTGAAAGAGGTAAAAAGTTCAGTTAAGCTTCATGGACTACTGCCAGCGATCCATCAGCCTAAATGGACATTCATTCAGCCGCTGCACTCAGCGGACGTGTGCAGCCGATGACCCAAGCAGGTGAGATCACAAAATATCTGACATGTCAGAGCAGGGTCCATGTCTGAATAATGCAGAATGCAGGCAGAAGCAGGAATTAAATGCTCTTTGATGGCCATGAAAGGACAAACACCCCCTCAGCTCCGATCTTCTGCCCCTTTATTCAGCTGCGTGCGTCCGCCAACCGTTAATAACTATATAAGCAGTCAAAGTTTAATGGTGTTTCAGGTTCAGACCTGTAATTACTGTTAATTTGTTGGGTCGGGTTAACTTCGGAAATCATGGCTACGGGCTGGGGCTGTGTTGGGTCGGATTTTTTGGGCCTGAATGCAACTCTAGTGCACAGGAGGACTTTAACAGCAATTTAACAAGGTTGGCACCTAAAAACAATTATTTGTTTGCTTGAAATTATAGCAAAGGTGTGTCTCAGTTTAACTTTTCCTTAATAAATGCACTTTAACGTTCAAATCGGCTGCAAAGTTTGAATGAATTTCAAAAGCCGATTCGCGGCTGTGGATGCGCACAGAGAGAGGACTCGCTGTGCATTTCTTCAAAATTTACCAAGATAAACACCTAAAAACAATTATTTTGCTCGACATTATAGCAAAGGTGTGTCTCAGTTGAACTTTTCCTTAATCAATGCAGTTTATGATCAAATCAGCTTCATTTCTCCTGGGTGGCGTGGCAAAATGCAGCTGATTTGATGTTTGCTCCAGGAGTTCCGGAGCAAGACGAAGATGGCTTGGCATAGCAAGCCAAGTGTCTTATAAATAGCCACTTTTACCTATTAATGAGACATTTGGATTCCCATATTACTCGAGGGCCCTCTAGTGGCTGAAAATGGTAGTGTTCAATATTTTCCATGTCAGAATGAATGAAATCGTCAGATCTTAGCCAAAAATTGGGTTATAAATATGGGGGAAAAAAACATAAATAAGTTGCTTCGCTGTATAAGTGGCAGACATGCTAATTTATGCAAAATGGTGCAACTTATACGGTGTAAAATACAGTAATAATAATAATGATGAAGATGTTAATAATAATGACAATAAAGGAGACTATGGAGCCATTTAGCACAGTGTTCATGGACTTTTTGCAGCACGCCTGTTGAAGAACTGATTCAGAAGCCTTGACGTAACATTCATTTAGAAATTTCTCCTTTTTTGGAAAAATGTTTGAACGGTCTCTCAACAGCTGGAAGTTAAAGAATAAAGCTGTGCTAATGGTAGTTGTTATGCTGAAAGCTTTTAACGCAGCATTTCTGAACATTTTAGCTACTACTCATGTGTCTTTACTCACAGAAACATCCACGCAGCATGCTGCTACCATCATCGTGTCTGACTTTTTTTTCTTTTTCTTCTTCTTTCGGCTGCTCCCTGTGTTAGGGGTCGCCACAACGAACTAGGTCGCACGAAGACTTGGCAGTTATTTTTACACCGGATGCCCTTCTTGACGCAACCACAGACCACCGAGCTACCAGAGCCCTCTGTGTGGAGTAGAGAGCTGCTATCTAGGACACCCGGTGGAGCAGATGGTGGGGATTAGGGGCCTTGCTCAAGGGCCCAGAGTGGGACGAATGAGGGTGGGGGCAGTGTGGGTGCTTCACCTACCCCACCCACATTTTTGATGTTGGCTTGAACCGGCGATCTTCCGATCACAGGCCCACCTTCTCTAACCTCTGCGCCACCACTCCCCATCTCCAAGACTGACTATAGGGGTGATAATCATGAGATGCCTGGTTTCCCCAAACATGAGTAAAAACTGTAATTATTACTTTTTTATTCATCAAATGAGAGGATTTCAGGAACTGTGAGTCACTTAACGTGACAATGATCTGACTGGACATCATTCTCATCAGGACTAATCTTGACACATAACTAGTTTTCGCGCAGAATTCAGATCTATTATTACAGGTCCTTCTCAAAAAATTAGCATATTGTGATAAAGGTCATTATTTTCCATAATGTAATGATAAAAATGAAACTTTCATATATTTCAGATTCATTGCACACCAACTGAAATATTTCAGGTCTTTAATTGTTTTAATACTGATGATTATGGCATATAGCTCATGAAAACCCAAAATGCCTGTCCCAAAAAATTAGCATATCTTGAAAAGGTTCTCTAAACAAGCTATTAACCTAACCATCTGAATCAACGACGTAACTCTAAACACCTGCAAAAGATTCCTGGGGCTTTTAAAAACTCCCAGCCTTGTTCATTACTCAAAACCACAATCATGGGTAAGACTGCCGACCTGACTGCTGTCCAGAAGGCCATCATTGACACCCTCAAGCAAGAGGGTAAGACACAGAAAGAAATTGCTGAACCAATAGGCTGTTCCCAGAGTGCTGTATCAAGGCACCTCAGTGGGAAGTCTGTGGGAAGGGAAAAGTGTGGCAGAAAACGCTGCACAACGAAAAGAGGTGACCGGACCCTGAGGAGGATTGTGGAGAAGGGCCGATTCCAGACCTTGGGGAACCTGCGGAAGAAGTGGACTGAGTCTGGAGTAGAAACATCCAGAGCCACTGTGCACAGGCGTGTGCAGGAAATGGGCTACAGGTGCTGCATTCCCCAGGTCAAGCCACTCTTGAACAAGAGACTGCGTCAGAAGCATATCGCCTGGGACTGCTGCCGAGTGGTCCAAAGTTATGTTCTCTGATTACAGTAAATGTTGCATTTCCTTTGGAAATCAAGGTCCCAGAGTCTGGAGGAAGAGAGGAGACACAGAATTCACATTGCTTGAGGTCCAGTGTCAAGTTTCCACAGTCACTGGGGTGTCATGTCATCTGCTGGTGTTGGTCCACTGTGTTTTATCAAGTGCAGGGTCAATGCAGCTAGCTATGAGGAGATTTTGGAGCACTTCATGCTTCCATCTGCTGAAAAGCTTTATGGAGATGAAGATTTCATTGTTCAGCACGACCTGGCACCTGCTCACAGTGCCAAAACCACTGGTAAATGGTTTACTGACCATGGTATTACTGTGCTCAATTGGCCTGCCAACTCTCCTGACCTGAACCCCATAGAGAACCTGTGGGATATTGTGAAGAGAAAGTTGAGAGACACAAGACCCAACACTCTGGATGAGCTTAAGGCTGCTATCGAAGCATCCTGGGCCTCCATAACACCTCAGCAGTGCCACAGGCTGATTGCCTCCATGCAACGCTGCATTGAAGCAGTCATTCATGCAAGAGGATTCCCGACCAAGTATTGAATGCATAACTGAACATGATTATTTGAAGGTTGGTGTTTTTTGTATTAAAAACACTTGTCTTTCATTGGTGGGATGAAATATGCTAATTTTTTAGGACAAGCATTTTGGGTTTTCATGAGCTGTATGCCATAATCATCAGTATTAAAACAATTAAAGACCTGAAATATTTCAGTTGGTGTGCAAGGAATCTGAAAAATATGAAAGTTTCATTTTTATCATTACATTATGGAAAATAATGACCTTTATCACATTATGCTAAATTTTTGAGAAGGACCTGTAGACCTTTATTTATACAGGTTAATTCCCACTGAGCCTCAAAGACTCATTTACAAGAGAGACTTGTTACATACAACATACAGGCAGATGGGAAAAAGAAAACACGAGGATGGAGGAAGCCAAAAATATATATATATATCTCACACAATGTCCTGGCCAGGAAACAGGGTAAAAGATGCAAAAAAAGACCTCATAACATAAACAGCAACATACAATGACATCATAATACATTTATGCATAGAGATCAACAAAGGCAGTAAGTAGTCCATGGACACTCCAGAAAGTTCCAATATTCTGATGAGACCAGAATCATGGTTCTGATAAGGCCACAGATGTCCTCGGGAGGGAGGGGGGGAAGGCAGAGCTTCTAGTTATGCAT